TTTATTTTTGTTTCCAAAATAATTATTTCTTTGAACAGTTTGGCTTATTTCATTTTGAAATGATTAATTTATTATTAGAAATGTTTAAATATACACAAGCATACATACTGATACATGCATTATAAAAAGAAACTTATGATATTTCGATGCACAATATTTATACTGTTTTTGAATCACTGAACCTGTCAAAAAAGTTATCATAGACGTTATTAATATTATAACAGTGGAGAATGAAATTTTATTTCGGCGGTGCATTTAAAACAATTTTTTTAAAAATTGTTTCAGTAAAACATTAATAAATTACCTATTTATTTTAAAGGATTAGTTTTGATTTATGACAGGATGAATTTATTAATTTTATTTTGAAATTTAGAATTATTGATTAATATAATATTTAAAATGGAGTAATCAATTCAATTCTTGGTAATTAATGACTATAGGAGAAATTTCGCTGTAGTTGAAAATTTTTTTCAAATTATAACAAAAAATAATTATTTTGGGAAAATAGAAATTTGATGGAAAGTCTTCTGTGTGCATAAATGTATTTATATTAAATAAATAAAATAAAAATTTTCTTATTCCCTTGGGTTGTAAAAGTTTTTTTTTAAAAATTTGTAAAATTCCATTATAAATTCAATAATTTTGAAAATAAAATTTTTTTTTATTAATCTTATCAATAATTTCTAGAGAGAAATATTTAAATAATATTTTGTATTAACATTATTACCATCATTGTAACAAAATTTTCTGGTATAATAGAAACTTGCACTTATCATAACATGTAGCATAGTTAAAAATATCAACGGTTCTACACTTATTATCCATTACTTTAAGTGAAATTTTAATAAAATATTTGATAACCCGAATAGAAGAGAAGAAATTTCCAAAAACTATTTTTTTCATTTTACAAAATAATATTGCTATTCTTGAAATTTATCTTCAAGTTTTTAAAATGGAGTATTTTGTTATTTTGCTAAGAGGAAAATTTAAAAAGAATATTAAATTAGGTACATTTAGTAGAAGTTATTTCCAGAATTTGTTAGGTTTATTTAAACTAAAATATTTAATATAAATAAAAACAACGGTAGGCTGGTGACCTACCTAGCTAACTCTCTATGACTATAGAAACTAGGGTATGTTAGATATCATGCACTAGCCCTATACTCCTCCTAGGAGTGAAGAAGGAAACAAAAATGTATAAATGTAGTCGAATTTTAAAGAAATTGGCAATGTAAAACACGTCTTAATTTTTTATGGATTATGAAGTATACAGTATTTATATATGTATAGGTAATGTACAATGTATGGGTTCAATCAATGATTACAAAATGTAAAACAACAGTCTTTAAACTACAGAATGCTTATTAAGGCTTTTATTCAATTTTAATTTCTTAAAATCAACATAAAAAAGCTCCGACAGTAAAATAATTTTTGTGTCTTGCACTAATTTCAAAATTTGATAATGACAATTTTTAAATTTGAATGATAAGAAAAATATTTCTATTATACCATTAATATTTTCATCCTTGTCATAAATGCCATTTTCGTTGTTTCCTTTATTATACAATTTGATTCAGATCATATTGGCATTTAAATCTCGGATATTGTAAATAAGCCTGGCCGAGAAAATCTGTTCCAAATTTTAAATTGTATTACAAGGTCTTAAAATGTCATTTTCAAGGCACAAGAAAGAGTTTTTTGATTTATTTTGCACAATTTCTATTTAAAAGTAAAAAGCACGTATGCATACAGTTAAACATGCCGTTATAGTACTAAATTTCTACGGTACAATAATAATATAAAAATTTTCTGTTACAAATGGCTTCCAGAATGAAAAAATTTAAAGAAATTCTCTAAAAATCAGTAAAAGGAGCACATTTCAATTTAAAAAATTATGGTTAATTTTTTGAAAGCTACATAGGTAAATTATTTAAATAAGAAAAAATCTTCTGAAAACTTCTGAGTAAGAAATGGAATTCTTAGTAGTTTAAGGAGAGTCGACTGCTATGACAAGGATTTTCAGAAGGTCTTAACCATTTTAAGAGACCATAGCTTTTAAAAAGGAAATTAGTTTCTTAAGCACAATTCAAGGAAATTAGTTTCTTAAGCACAATTTTGCACTTGCTATAGCCAGTAATATGGGCAAAAATTTAAAATATAAAATAAGAAATGCCCTAAAAACGAGATGAAAAAACATTGCAGGGAAAATGAATAAAATCTAAAAGTATACAATCTTCTTAACTTTGATTTTATTATCTATATGTACGTATAGTACAGAGTTTTCCTAATTCTTCTATATATTTTTGTTTTTATCGCCTTAAAAATGTGACATTAAAAATTTTCTTTATTTCTCTAACAGTTTCATTTTTTTTTTCTCTGTTTCTCTTTTTTTTCTGTTTTTCTTTAAAATCGTGAATGGCAAAAACATGTTTTCAAGAATTTTCTAACATCCTTTACACAGCAATTATTGTAAAATTTTTTTAATGTAATGCCATATTTACAGGTAAAATTGTAGCGAAAGTGTACTAAAATGTGTTAAATAAATTTGAAGGATTACACTTTAAATGCCACCCATATTGTAAAAACTTTTTTTTCTGCTTGTTTTTAATGTGAAACAGAAGAGCATTCTTACATCACACACGTTTATGTAAATAAGAGGAATAAATACACATACATATTCCTAAATTAGTACTATATGAAAAATTCAAAAATAAAGTTTAAGATTTTTCAAAATTATTTTTACATTTTACATGTACCTACATAATTTTTATTTTATTTGCAAAGGAAAATTGTGATTTACTTTTTCTTTTAACCTGAATTATCTAATTGAGTTCAAAATTACTTTGAATTTGTTAAAATTCAAGTACTTACATGCATAATAATAAAATTTTGAAAAGTATGTACAACAATATCAATTTGAGGGCTTTTTATGTAATTAGAGCTAATTTTTATTGCTTAGAAAATAATTATTTTAAATTTTTTTTATCTCTTATTCTCCCAGTTTAATTTTTCATCCTATATACATTTAAGCTAAGTAATTGTTTGATTCAATGAACTGCATAAAAATAAAATATAATTTAGATTAAATATCGGTATTTAAAATATCATATACTGAAGCAAAAATCAAAGCAGTTTTAAACTAAAATTAAATTTTTTATATTCAATTGTTCTTTGTTTCATTTAAAAATTTGAAGTTTTCGTGTAAATTAATTACTTTCTCAGGCTATTAATCAGTCTTTAAAAAGAGTATTCCCAACCTTAGATTCAAACTGTAAAATAACAAATAAATCAGATGAATTTACAAAGCCCATATATTAGATATTATGTCTAAATTAACACAAGAACTTGTAGAGGTTAAGTGCCTTTTACTTTTTAAAAATTTTTAAATAAATTTTTAATGTTTGAAGTTCTTCTTTTTCAGTTTCTACATTTTGTGCAAAATTAAATGATCCTTATGAAATGGCATATATGTGGGAGATTTATATCGGAAAATTTGTAAATTTTATTATTCGTAATACAATTTAGAATGAAAGCAAACTAAATAATTAGCAAAAGACAAAATATTTGTTTAATATCTTTTTTCATAGCGTTTCAATAATTTTAAATAACCCTTTTTAGCACTTTCATTTAAAGAAATCTTTAGCACTTTCATTTTGTTTCAACTCCACCTCATCTCAAGTTATCGCCTCCCGAAATTTGTAAAACTCGAATTTTTGGCACCTTGTATTTTAAAAACTGGAAAAGCTTTTCCAAACTTATTTGTCTGCAAAAAGCTTACTGTAAATACCATATTACCAAAATATACAATTATTTTTTTTAACTCAAGGAACTAACCCTTAAATTCAAGCATTATGTTAACGCTCTTTTTCATTTTTTTTTTTTTACCTCATCCTAAATGTATGCATTCATTGAAATATTTTTGTATATGAATAAAAGTAATATAGTACATAGACGGTATTTAAAACAGTATTTTCACTTGTTGAAGGGAAAACTGCTACTTTGTAAACCATTGGTTTGACTCTACTTCATTTTTTATAATTGCACTTACATTGCAAATAAGCGGTTCATGTTCAATTTCTTGAAAGCGCTAATTAAATAAATTGAGCTTAACAACAATTATTAAAGATATTTTACAGTAAAATTTTCCTTTTTCTATAATATTGTGCAATTGACGAACAAGATGAAAATTTAATTTTCGTTAGAAGCTGGATTTTTAATTTACTTGTCTTCCAATATCTTCCAATTTCCGAGAATTATGTATTGATGAATTATTCGATTTCACATGCTTCCTCTACAGCTTTATATAAATATTTTTTCCTAAAAAATTTAATATCGAGTGAATAAAAATAGTGTAAAAATTTTGCGTTTTAATCACAGTTTGAAGATTTTTGATTTATTTTTCTTTTTCTTTTAAGTGTACATAATAACTTTAAGTAATGAATCGGAACAACCAAACAAGAATTTCATTGTATATTGTTTTTTTCTTTTTTGCCGCATGGGCACATCTTATCAGTTTGAAAAAAAAAATTCCTATATGATTATATGATTGATGGTCAAGCGAACTCGTACTTTGGTGATAACAAATAAACTCGCAAAATTACGAGATTTTACTATTAGCTTGTCACATCACAATAAAAACAAATCAATGACATAATAAATATTTTATAAAAATATGATGATAAGCTAAGCTAAGAAAACTCAGCAAAAATAAAATATTAGAGACTAAAAGTCTCTCATGTCAAAAGAAAAAAAAAAATCTTATATCAGAATTTTTGAAGGAGAGAACGTTTTTTGAACATTTGTTGTGTTTTTTTTTTCATTCTCTGATTAATGAACTATTTTGCACAACTATATCATTTTTTTTAGTACAAAAATAAATTTCAAACAATTCAAACGTATTATTTCCGCATTTTTATTTTCTCCAAGTTGTTTAATATCGCGTAAAACAGTGAAAATGAGAAATTTTACAGCTATCGTTTTAATATTTCAATATACGTACAATTTTATTTATTTAAATGTGAATGCTATTGAAATTATTTTATTTGATGATCGAATAAATGAACTTAAAGAAATTGGACGTAAAGTTCGTATGTCATTACAATTAACTCCAAGTGATTTACCATGTAAAAGTTTCTTTGAATATGCATGCAGTAAAAATAAAACAGTATATCCGATGATTGGTCAAAATTTGAAAAATGGTGTTGTTAAACATTTAGTTGATGAACTAGCGGCAAGAAATAAACAATTTTCTGCTAAAACAAAAGCATTAAATTTTTTTCAATCATGTAAACACTATATGAATATCGACATATGTTATGAACAATTCTTTAAATATTTCAGATCTTTATTGGCATATGTTGCTTTAACATCTCAAGTAACTGCATATGATAATAATATATTTAATACAGTTAAATCAAGATTTTTACATGCAATCGGAAAAGTTCCATTATTTACTGGAACAAAAGCAAAATATGATATTGATCGTAAATTTGAAATAATTGAAAAACGTAAAGAATATTTAAATATTGATGTTATGAATTCTGAATATTCAAAATTTCAAGTTGATCCACACAATTATTTTCAAAATATATTAAATTTGGAAAGATCGATAAATACAACTAAAGAAAAAACATTTGAAATTGTTGTTGCAATCGGTTTATATTTACATCAGAGTCATGACAAACCAATATCATATTTTTATCCTAGTTTTAATGTTCATCTATGGAAAGATTTATATTATGATGTTCTTAATAATGAAACCATTTTAAATGATGTTATTGAATGTTTACAATTACCAGAATCTATGTCAATGGAAGATAAAAGAACAGCAGCATCATATTTTGAAGCAATTGAATCATCATGGAATGAATTTGCTGAATGGTTAGATGAAAGTGATTTAACTGATAAAGTTAATGATCAAGAGAATTTACATTTACGTGAATATAATTTAAATACAAAAAGATTATTTTTTATTATATATGCACAAAGTTTATGTCATCATGGTAAAACAATTGTAGATAATATTTTAGTTGAGGGTTTAAAGCATTCAAGTGAATTTGCATCAACATTTTTTTGTTCAGAAGGATCACCTATGAATCCGGAAGGAAAATGTGAAACACCGATATAGATAAGAGACTATAATAGATTTTAATATTTAATTTTATTTGAATAATTTTTTTTAATATTTGCATAAAATTGTATTATCAAAAATAATATACACACGAACAAACAAAATAATATTAAGTTAATCAGTTATGTTAATCTTTCTTAAGTTTATCAATTAAATTTAAATGCTATATTTAAATAGACATCATAATGAAATAAAAATTATAAAATTAAAATTTAATTGGAATATAATGTGTAAATTGATATTATTAATAATTAAGTTAGAATCATAGTGTATAATACTATGGAAATAACATTGCAGATAGACGTTATTTTAAAGTTCCTTTGTACAGACGTCTTATTGATTTGAATCATAATCACAATGCATACTAAAATATTATGATGATAAATTAGTGATCTTTATTAGAAAATCGTCTTTTAATTTATAATTTTTAAGACGAGAATAGGAAAATTGTTCCACATAAATTTTTATTTAACGTTCATAGAGAACAGTTTGGAACACCCTGGTGCTTCAACAAGCTTTTGGTATATTGTTCATATTAAATCAATGGTTTGTATTTAACTATTTTATTTATAAATTTCCATTAATTATTCTAATAATATTAAAGCAGCAAAAAATTTTGCCACAAAATTAGTTGTTAATTACAATTCAATATCTTTTTACTATCAAAGGAATGTGTATTGAAACTAGAATTATCATTTTAATAATAAAAATAATTGTGAAATTATTGGTTTTGATTTTTGATGGATAAAATTGGCTACTTACCAAGTTGATTAAAGGACATAACCATTTTTTTGCTTCTGTCTCAATATTTTAATATACCAACATGGTTATAGGTTAAAAATCCTATATAGTTTTTATTTTACACTGACAAGTGTAAAAAAAATATAGGATTTTTATTTAATCTGGAATGGAATAAATAGTCAAATTTCTCACTGAAAATCTGATAGGTAAATTAGCTTGTTCTTCATCTATTCATCTCCATTTTTTCAGATCTTTTAAAAACATATAACATTATTCTAGTGTCATTACCAAATCCATCAAACGTTACCATAATTTTAAAATATTTTTTTCCTGTAATCGTATTTCTCCTAAATGTATGCAAAAATGAATTAATAAAAGATTAAGTAAAATAAATGAAAAACGCCTTTACATGCTAATTTTATCATTTTTTAAATACTTCATCAAAATAACAATCTTTTGAAATTTTAATTCTTAAAGTAAATAATGCATAACTTTTACTCTTAATTGGTTACTGTGTTAGCCATATTATACTATGGAATTTTTCTTTTAAAGGTTTCACCACATAATGTACTTGCTTTATTGAATAATGACAAAATATGCACATCAAAAGTGAATAGAAGAAAAAATCTTAATATTTCTTACAGCCGTTTAAGCCAGTTTGACATTTATAATAGTTTAAAAATAACATGTGTTGGAATGATAAAGATTTTCGTAGCATTGAATGATTTCAATAACATATGTACACTATATATGGTAAAAATTAAATGATGGCAACACTAAATGATTATCTTCAGAATATCATTGAATTAAGACGAAATATTTGTAATACATCTTTTAAATTTTTGCACTGTTCATTAATTTCAGGAATGGAAAACTAATACTCGTATTATGTACCAAGAGATGTAATATTAATATTTCCACTACATTACTCGTAGTAACTGTAGTCAATAATAATTTTTTATTTAGCAATATATTAAAAACACGTTCTCACACTCTCATTCAAGCAACATTATAAATTCATTATAAATTGAATGGCGACAATTTAAAATGTTGTATTTACTCAGTTTTATTTAACTGTTTTTGTATTTTAAATAAGCCTCCATTGAAATATAAATAATACTATTATTATTAAATTTTCTTTTCTTATAAATAAATTCAATTTTATTAAATTAACATTTATCAGTCTCAAAATACACATTTTTAGAATAAAAAAGAAAAATTTAAATATTCACTAATAGAATTTACATTTAATAAAATTTCCCAGGAAATGGCAAAGCAAAACTACAAATTCCTTTATCCTTTTACCAATTTACCTTCAATTGAATCATCTGGTACAACTACAATATTTGGTACAGATTCAATTTGTGCTAAAACTTCAGCTTCATTTGCAATCTCTTCATGAACAAATTTTCGATTCGTTTCAAATTTACTTTTACCAATAAAAATTGTTCCCAATACTAATAATAATATGAAGCACTAAAATTTTTTACAAAGAAAAAAAAAAACAAATATAAATTTTTTTATTACAATAAACTTTCTTCTTTATGGTTTCTTTCAATGAATGTTACAACGAAAAAAAAAGTAAAAATATGTAGTATGTATGTAAAAAAAAATGAAAACCTTACAATATGTTCCAACCATGTCCCAAACTGCATTTCAATCCATGATAGTAAAACAGTAAATGTTATACCAAAGACATGAGATGAAATATTCAATAACGCTGCTACAGGACTTTCTGTATTATAATATTCAATTTCAAGTGCCAATTCTTGTCCAACGGTTTGGTAACCTGTCATAAAAAACCTAAAAACAAAAATTTTATATTTTATGCACACAATACAATTATAAAATATAAAATGAACTCGTATATATTTTACTTTTTAACAATAAATCGCATTGTGAAATTTCAATTTTGGTTTTTATTTCAATTTTTGTTAAAAGTAAGATTTTTGAGTAAAAAAAAATTATTATTCAAATATTTTAGGGAACGAAAAAGGAATAAACGAAAACTAAGTTGGCTCGTCCAACTAACGGATACTGATTTTTAAACAAATTTAAGGTAGTATAATACTCTACCTTTTATTAAATTACTTTAAACAAAAAACAGAAACTAAACCTTAATTTGAGTGTTAATGTACTGGTACAGTACCGACTACTGTTGAATAATTGGGACTGGTTTGTGTGAAAATCCAATGTTACATAAAATATGGACTAGAAACTAGCCGATGAATTCAAAAATTGAAATTTAACATTTATTTTCTATATAAAAATGTGGAGCCTAACTAATCCTTTGTATATGTTGCATTTCTTTATTGATTTATGAAAATACCCAGCACACACCCAAAAACAATAATAAAGGTAAACCTATAATAACAAATTTATGAATTTTTTTACAAAACAGTTTGAAATCAACTTAAATAAAATCTTTTTTTTTACTGTTATAACGATATTTTTTGTGCAACTATTTTCATTGCAATATCCTTTCAGTATTCTTATTTGTATGAGATTGGTATGCTATTGAATAGCTTATGCTCTTAAATCTTAATATTTTAATTTTTATGATATAAATTGCAAATTTATGTTAAAATTTACTTTCATAAAAAATAATTTTAAAATTTTTGTCTTTTGTTTTCATTATCTCGAAGTAAGAGGTATTTAAAATAATTCAAGTTGCATGGTAAGTAAAATTCCTTAAGTTTTCGCCCCATATATTGCAGGTTTTTGATTTAAATTATAAGTAACTTTGTAAACTAAATATGTAATAAAAAACACTATGAAATCTCTCTCGTAAGAGAGAAATATCTCGGAAAATTTGTTTAAGACTTTCTCACTTAAATATTCAATTCTTTTAAATTTTAAGTGGATTACAAGCAAATACAGTATTGTAATGTGTTCACAATGATATGCGGTTATGAAGAGGTCAATAAAACAAATTAATTGCATTAAATTATATTTTGAAACCATTCGATATCACTGGATTAAGAATAAAAAAAATAATATTATGTAATTTTTAGTTTTGTTGTGATTTTTGTTCACATATAAAAAGCTATTTTATTAAACACAACAAACAATGTTATATAACACTATAGTGTCTAACTCCTCCATTTATAAATTTTAAAAGTTGTTAATTAAGTCTAACATATTCATTTAAAATTTCAAAAGTTGTAAATTGCCAAAATGTTAAGACAAAATTATAACTAAACCTTACACGCGGAGTTTTTAAAATTTAATGCAGATTCACATAAGTACATTGTAAACATTAAAAATGATTATAAAAAACTGGAGAATGTGATATTCTTTGTAAAGAGGAATCAACCACAGGATATTTTTCAGTAACATAAAAATATAAAACAAAATCTGTTTTTATGTTACTATATCGGTGCATTGTTTTACCTTGTCTCTTTGTAACACTGTTAAAAATAATATTAATAAGAAATAAGTGTCATGGATTCTACGATTTCTATACATTCATTTTGTACATAATATTGAATTAAATTTGGATTAAAAGCTTTAAAAGAAATCTAAAATAGCAAAAATTCATAAATTAATAAATTTTTAATTGAAATTAAATTTACTTGCATGAAAATTAAACATAAATTTCATAATACAATTATTTTTTAATTAATTTCAACAGCAACAAATTTTATTTTCAAGAATCATTTCAAGTTTAAAAATTTTTAGCAAAATAACAAAAGAAAAAGAATGAACCAGAATCCTATTGCTTAAACCGCCTTTTACTTTTTTCAATCAAAATTAATCAAAAAATTGGAAAGTTTGTGTTGGATCAAAAATCAGAACGCTAGTGAACTGTTCTACCTAAATGAATTTTAAATTACATGACCTTTCCAAATTACTTATTTTTTTTAATTTCATAGAAATCCATAATAAATTTTTTTACCCAAAATACCAACCAAGCAATTTCTAATAAAAATTAAAATAAAATAAATAGAGCAATTGAAAAACTTGAAACCAACATTATATAAATTGTGGTTATGTGGTGTAATGATACCATGTATGGTGCTTTTGAAACTAACAACGGCAACAAGAATGACAATCACAATCCTATAAATTATAATAAGAAAATTTAACCACAATACCAAAAAAGTAATTTTATATGTTATTATTATTGGATGTGGTATACAGACCTAAAAAACGAAAATTCTAAAATTCTAAAATATAGTTAATTCGAAGCAATATTTTCATTACTATAATATGAGATTAAATCCTAACTATGGTGAGTATTTAATGATAATCAATGTAATAAAATATTATGATATATTGAGGGATAAAATATTGGTATAATGAAGGCCTTATTGACGTAATTAAAATTTTTATAGTTTTTTGAAACAGACATTTTTAAAGGGTTTTGAAGTTAAAAGCTATTTGTATATTATATAACTCCATATCGTGTAATTTCGCTTATTTACTTAAGAAAATGAGTGAATGTAAAATTTAATCATCATTCATTGATTTTGTTTTTAAAGCTGACAAGTTTAATCGATATTTAAAAAAAAAATAAAATCTAATTGAAAAAATATGTATAATCCTTTTGGAACATAACATTTCCACTAATGAACAACCGGAATTCTAAATTGAAAGTTAAGCAAAAATGTGAATAAAAAAGTGAAATACACGATTTTGTTGTAAATCTCTATAATGAATACGTAATTGGATATTATTAGCTTTCTGTCTCGAAAACTATGTAATTCTGAATAGGAAATATAAAGTTTTATTTTGTACATCACAGATTCTCAAAATTCGGATTTTTATCCATATATTTTGTTTAATCAAATTTTGACGTGTAATGTAAAATTTTGAAATGTATAGAATAAATTATAAAAAATACCTAAATTGAACTAACAATTGCTAACTAAAGACTAAATTTGGAATTAAAATATTTACGATATAAGGAATTAAATTTACAAATAAGTTTTTCTTATTATGAAACTAATTAGATTTTCTGTTATTTTAAGTTGAAAGAGACCTTTGACCTACATAGTCATTTTAATAAATTTGAACAAAATTTTGTTTTAAAATATGTAAACAACAGATTCTAAATCTCTAAAAAACTTTATTAGATTCATATATTTTTCGCAATAATTTAACGAATTTATATGATCCTATCGCACTCAGTATGAAGAAGTTTCTATTACTCGCTTAAAATAAAAAAAAAAAACCTAATTCTGTTTCATGTACTTGAATTTGTTCAATTAATTCTTCACTACGAATTATTTTAATCATAATTTAATTCCAAATACATACATATGTACATAATATGTAATATTACTGCATCTTAACTAATATTGAGGACTTGTAAAATTATTATATAACAATATTTGTTATTTGAATGATGTAAAATCATAAATTGTGTTAATAAAATTGTGTTAAAAATATTAAAATAAATAAACGAAATTTTTAAACAAATAAAAAATATGAAAGTTACTTCTTTCATAAAAAATTATAATTTTATTTTATATTTTTTATACACGAATTGAAAAAAGTGTTTAATTAACTGTTATAAATTTCATCACTACTACATGTGTAGCACCATAATATTAAATATTTAGGTCAATAAAGTTTACAGAATAAATTATTAATTTACGGTAAATATTGAACAATTCCGAGAAAATAAATACAATTTTTTTAAATTTGCAATAATTTTACAATTTGTTATTTAAAATAAAAAATTCAAAATGCACAATTGGCATAACTAAAAACAAAAAAAATAAAATTTACCGACTCTTCATTTTATTATAAAAACAAAAAAAAAATAATTAAATTAAAATCATCACTTCGTAACATTCTGACAATAAATCATTCCTGTTTAAACCCTACCCTACCTTTATTTTACTATTTTGACCCAAAATTAATTTAAAAATTCACACAGCATTCTACTTTGCAAATATTACATTCATACATATATTCCACCAGAAGTTGACACCTTCACACCTACCCACAAATTTTATACACAAATCATGACTATAGTAGCTGTATGTCATGTGACTATAAAATAACGTAAATATTGGGGGAAAAGAAATTTTTTTTTCATCGCATAATTTGTGTAAACATTATTCGAAAAAAAAATCTGCTATTTATTTTACAATATTTTACAGAAAATTATAAATATGATTTTGCCAAGACGAAATTCAGTGAACATATTGGTCTTTAATATAGCGCTAATTTTTTTAAATTCAATTTTAAATAATAATTTGAAAAACTTTTCTTAAACTTGTAGTGATATCGCACTCAAGATTACTCACTATACTGATTGTTTACAATCAATCAAAATTTATAGTGTTATAATAATTGTAGTATTAAGTTTGTATACTACAATCATACAATGACGTAGACTAATTATTGAAAACAATATAAAAAATATTATGAGAACCAACATTATAAAATTTCCATTATCCCTTTATGTATAATTGAAAAAACTGATATTTAGGACTTACATTTAAATAAACATTTGGTATAGTGCCAAATTTTGAATCAATAAAGTCAAGTTTTTTAACATATTTTTTTACTCAATCTTAGAATCATTGTCATTATAATTAATATCATAATACGAGTAGTTTGTTTTCCAAAAGTTAAACATTTAATATTATCCTCTGTCAAAATATAAATACCCGCCTCTTCTAAATTAACTTTCTTTATTGAAATAATTTTCTCACTTGTGTGCTAAATTTCAAATCTCTAATTCATTTTGTTATCAAATGAACGTTTTAACAAAAAACGGTTGGACGAAACTAGATGGTAATTCGATTCTGAGCAGGAATACTTATAACTTGTGAATATAGGATCATAAATGCTCCTCCTTCATACCCCAAAACAAATTGTAAAGCGCATTAGTATCAAGAATTTTTTATACACGTCATTTAATTGGACTATAGCGAATTCCATAAAAACTCATTAGTTTGCTACATTCGAATAAATTTGAATAATATCTACGAGTCTACAGAACGCTGGGATTTACAGATCTCATTAATGGAAATTCAATATTTTTATTGAAAAAAAAATGAGGTCCACATATTTAACCAATTTATTCAGAAAAAAAAATTAATGTAATCTCATTAAAATTTTACAATACTTTTTGGTTTCATCAATCCATTTACGGTTTTCAATTATTTTCTTTTTTTGATTTATTAATTGTGACACTTTTAAAACTATTATACTAATATCATTAAATTCCCGAATTTTACGCTTAGTCAGAAGCACAAATTTAATTAAGAATATCGCAAACATTTTATCACTAAAATAACAATCGAATTGTAATATCAACATTAATTAGGTACGAAATTTTTCATTTTTCAATTTCAATCTTCAAATATTTGTAAAGTAACAGCAACCGTAATTTAACCAAAAAATTATTCAACAGAAACAAAAAAAATGAATTTTCACATTATTTGCTACTTATTATGCACATTTTAGATATAAAATATATGTACGCGTGTACACGTCTCTCCGGTATACCACAAATGGACATTAACAATTAATTTTTGAAAAAGAGCACACGGTGTACATAAAAAGTAATTAAATACATAATATATATGTAAGTAAAATCAACTTAATTAAAATGAAAAAAGATTTTAATGTGTATATAGTCTATTATATATATATAATGTAGGTATATATACATACTTATATTCATAAATATTATGTAATTTATATAATTACCCCAAAATCATTGAAGAAATGTACAATAAAATTTTCGATTTCGATTCCAATGCTAAATAAAAAAAAATCATTCCAACAACAGAAAATCTGCTAACCCATAATGCTGTGGATTTATATTGCTGCATCATATCGATAATGAAACCAAAAATTAATGATCCAAAAAGTCCAGTTGATATTAAAATAGCCCCAATATTACCAGCATCCTGTTCACTGTTCTGGAAAATTATAAAACAAAAAAAAGAAAAAACAGAAAATTACAGATGACGTTTAAATTATTGCAAAAAAAATGGAAGTGAAAATCAAAGATAAATAACAGGAAAAAAATTCGTGTGTAAAAATAATAAGTATGAGAAGTAATTTTCAAAGAACAAGAAAAAATACAAAAAGAAAATGATTGCCTTAACATTTTCAATGAAATTGATTTTAAAGGAGAATTAACTTTCATAAAGTTTTGAGAGTATTTTCATTTTAACACTTTATTTTTTGCATTTTTAAAATTTAATTTTCAGGATATTTATTAAAAGATACCATAATGAAAGATCTGGTAAAAATTCGTGTCGACATTACAAGTCGTCATTTTATTGCAAGTCGAAAAGTAATAAATGAAATTTCAGAAGTGGGGGGTAGAATTTCTATATAGGCACTATTTTAAAAAAATTTAAAGAATTCTGCATAATTTCTGTTCAATTATGTAAATTTTTTATATTATGGCTTGTAAAGGTGAAAATCAAATATGCACGATTTTTAAATCCTTGACACAAAAAAAATTATTAAGGTTTGAGGGCATTTATGAAATAGATGGCTTAAACGTTTTTGTTTGTTAATTGAAAAGCACAATTTTTCAAAAAAAAAAACGACAAGTCACAATAAACTTTTTTGAAAAAAATTTAATAACCATAATATGAAATGTTATCATGATGACACAAGGAACTGCTTGGAATACTACTGAGCACTCTTAGAGAAAGGTCTCAAATTATTCATTTATAACAATTAATTAATTTTAAATAGAATTTGTTCAAGAATTGTTTTTTCAAAGTTTTGAAAGTGCGAAGTACGTTATATACTATCATATACCTTGGAATCCAAATTTCAGTATACATAAGAACACTATACGAACACTATAATATTCAGTTACATATTATTATATTTTCGTAGAAAATTGTATTATCCAAAAATTTTTTTTATAAACGGTTCATTTACTCTAATTTTTCATGAATAAACGCAATTTATTTAGCCTGAACTAAAATAAAAATTTTAACTTACTTTGTAAGTATAACTTACTTTGTGATCTTTCATTTTAGTAAAAATTTCATTTTAAGTATTCAAATCAAATTTTCCATTTAAAAAAAATTGAATTTAGAAATGGCACAAAAAATAATTATTGTTAATCTAAAAACTGGACAGTTTTTTTCTATAACCAGAATTTTTTTTTTTTCAAATTTGTGAGAAAAATTCTCTAATATCAATGAAAAAAATTCTTTACCGGGAAATAATTTAGAATTATTTGATTTAATAATGTCGAAAATGAATTCTGGACACCAGTATGAATTCCATAGGACAACAAAAGTAGATGAAGAGTTTTATTTTTCAATGAATTTAATGACGCTTTCCAACTATCTGAAAGAAAAAAAAAATTAAATAAATAAAAATAGGTTAAAAAACAAAAATTTACTGCAATGGAAAACTTTTTCTTTTTCATTTTTCATAGAAGAATTAAAAAAAAAATAGTTTTGCTAACAGTATTTATTGCATCTAAATTTTTTTTTTACTAGATTTACCTTTATTTTGAACTGATGTTGTCCTAAGTATTGCCTGTACAGTTGATGGTGGATATTTAGGTTTCCCTTTAAATCCTAAAAGCGAAAGAAAAAAAAAACAAAATTGCAATTTATAACAAATGAAAAGAAAATGAGAATTTGTTAAAGATTTTAGAACTTTTATGAAATAATGATAGTGGAAAAGTTTTTTAAAGAAAAAGCGAAAAAATTATTTTTTCTTTACCATAATTTTTTAATCTTGGAAAAATTTTTTATTTAATTTAACACGATTCAAGACATAATTACGAAAACGAGGTGTTTATAAAGGAGAAACTTTTAAATTTTTGTTTTTACCTTGATAAAGTTCGTAAACGTTTTATTTTTATGATTAAAATAATTATTTTTTTGTTTCATCAAAATTTTATGCATGTTTGAACGTTAATTATTAGTTTAATTAGTATGAGTTTTATAAGTACGAACAAAGAAAATTTATAATGAGTAGTTTATTGCAATTAATCTTCCAGAAAATTATTGATAGTCCTTCAAAAATTGAATTTTCTATAAATTTTATAAGCATTATGCAGCATTATAATATAAGAATAATATTGACAAGAATAAATTAAAGACCAATTATTGATAAAATAAAAAATATGTGACCCATTTTGGATTCAATTTGGATGGATTTGGATCAATTTGTAAATGAATTTTGAATTTTATAAATTTTATTGGAACAAAATGTTTCTACCGCAAGTTTTTATTCTATTTGAACATTATTTTCAATACCTTGAACAAAAAGATTTTTTTTTATTTTCTTAACCCTTGGGTTCATAGAGAATAAAACACCTTCTCTCACATTATTTGTCAGCTGGTTAACTAATACAAGTTACAATATCGATATTCTGTAAGTAGTTGCTTGCCTATATTCTTTGTTCTGAATCATTTTTGCAATTTTAAAAGAATTTTATGCATTTTATTATTATTTAATTCTTATTAAAGGTTTTCATGAAATTTTAGTAAAGTGAAACATTATGACAAGCAATATGTAACGGGTCTATAGCAATTTTTCAGTTTCATTAGATTTTTGAAAGAAAAAAATTTAAATCCTATATATTTCATGATGCGACAAAAATTTAGAAAATCAATATTTGATGCAGCTTTCAATTTAAAAGAGTGAAATTTGAAGCTTCAAAAATATTTTTTGAAACAAATTATTTATCAATCAGCATCAATTATGAGTTATGATCCAAAAAACAAAAATTTGCAAAAAAAGTGAATTAATAGTATTGCTGCTGATTTATAAGAAGAATGGCTTCAAAAAATTTAAAGTCGATGTCATATGAAGAGCAAATGACATATCTCAGTAATTTCATGGAAAACCAATGTCAAGAAGAAAATAATTACGATGGATGAGCGTGATGTATTTTGTCGAATATGAATAATATGAGGACTGTAATGTCGAAGATCTTGTTAGTCATAGTAAATCTATAGACATTAAAACAAAATACGAGTACATGTATGTATAGGCAAAATGCCTGCTATAACCCCGATGTAAATGACATTAACTAAAAACTGATCTTTTGAATTGACGTTAAATATTTATTTGTAGTGTCTTCTTATGTAAAATTTTCGTTTTTATTTTGGAATTGGTATTGTTTACTACGAAATCTTTGAGCTTTATAATAAAATATGTAAATGTTCCCAATATTGAAAAACATTTTTCAATTTTACAATTTCAAATTAAATTTTACACATTTTAAGAAGCAAAACTTTAAAATTTAGAATTTCATACAATCACTCGGGTGAGCATTTACGTGTTTACTATTCCCCTTGATTGGCTGATCTGACTTCCAATTTTCTTTTAAAAAGGCTTTAGAAAAAACCAATTAAAACTCATTTGGGAGGTCAACCCAAAAAAATTTTTTTTCACTCTATATTTTGTAAAAAAAAGGAAAAATCACCGGGGACTATTTATGTCTATATAGAAGATAATAATATGTAAAAAATTAAAATATGAACTGAGCACCATTTACCGAAATTTTATTTATGGTGAGTAGGTCTTTTATTACCATTTCATTTACCATATTGTTATTTTTATCGAAATGACGAGTTTTACGCAGCACATAAATAGTTAATTATAAATAGTAGAGTTTAAGATTAGAATTAACTTAACAAGACAAGAAGGACGAGAAGATTTCTCTTTGATCCACATTAAGACTTTGCACTTTTTAAATTTAACTTAATAATTGTGGATTTTCAATTTCAATTAAATTATTGACTTATTAATAGTACGACTCATTCATATTATACCAGATTTTATATGATAAGTACAGTTTCCTATTAAATATAAAATTAACTACAGTTTCCTATTAAATATTTATTTGTAATGTCAATAATTTCTATTTGAAATATAAAATCATTTATAATTTAAATAACCTTCATTATTTTCACCTGATTGCTTAAGAAAAAGTAATGAACATAGCCAAATTAGTGGCTTACAAAGTTAAATGAACGTGGCCAATTTAAATTTAATTTTTTAACCACAAATTCATAAAACCAAAAAAGCATTTAAAAACTGCTGTTTTCAAATGTTTTCAGCATTTAAAAATTAGTTTCAATTATCAAACTGATAAGATAAATGGTCATTCTTAGAATTTTTCTTAAATTCTTATTTGTATATTAAATTTAATATCAAAAATAAAACTCAAAATTGTTTTTAAACAAAATTTAAGATTGAAACTAGTTTTGCTCTATTGCAGTTTTCATAAACTAGAAATATCCAGTAATTTTCCATTGTAAGTTTTCTCAAAATATTTAATTTGTTTTGAGAAAATAAACTTACTTTATTTATATTTTAAAAATACAAAATTAAAGTTTAAATATTTGACGCAAATATTGACAAAAATTTAAAGCTCGGATATATTTTTACCTCATATCTTCAGAAGTCCCTTCTAAGATAATGATATTTGTAGAATCTTTATTGATTACAATAAATTTTCCATAGCCTACAATTTTAATCCCCCAAGATAATAATTTTTCTTTTTAAAATAAACATTTAAGTAATTTAATAAAATCCAATTTTAAAAATAGTAATTTAAATAGTCTATTTATGGAAGCAACATTCGTAGTATTTGTTCCTTTATTAAAACCAGTAAATAACTAAATAAATATTCGTAAGATAACTGGCAACATCTTTTTTTCTTATTACATATTAATTATAAAAAAATTTTAATAAAAAAATTATCATGACAAATAATGGAAATGATAAATTATTTATTCTTTTATTTTATTTAAAAAAAAAGCAACTATGTACATAATATGTAGGAAATTTTATATAAAATAGCTTTGAAGTTTCTATGCTTTAAGGTGGAATTGACTACCGATTTTGTATTTGCTCTCCTTTAAAATCGGAAATACCTATAGCATTGCACCTACCCAATATTTCAAAGTTTTATGTAATATTTTACGATAAAAATGAACAATTTCGCGAAAAACTCCCTATTCAATATTTTCAAAATGTTAAATTTATTTTAAATAAAATTTGTTATAAGGTGGCAAATAATTTCAGGGATAATTCTTTGTTCAATTTTCAGTCAAAAATCGTATGGTGCGGGGGGGTCGTATAAAAATTATGTAATTCAATTAAGCATATTCGAATATGAAATTCAAAACTTAAACGAAAATAAAAAAAAAAAACAAAAAAAATCATTGCATTTAATTACGTCTTTTACACGCAAATACCTGAGTTTTGTGTAATTAAATCCAAAATTTAAATAAATACGGTTATGTGTACATAATATGTATATACAATCAATGAATCACGTAATTTTTAAAATATACGCCGACTTCTTTTGAGCCTATGTTTTCATAATTCTTGATAGTGCACTGCACTGTTAAACATTAAATTTTCAGAAAATAATTAATTTAAAGTGATAAACAAAATGTGGCACATATTTTTGAAGACGTTGCAGTGATATATAATCATTCATTTGTTTTACCTATCCTTTAAAAGTAATATATAAAAATTCAATTCGCGGTTAACGAAAAAATTTTCATAAACTTTAAAATTCATGTACGTATATCAAAAATTTAATCAATCAAATTAATATCCGATTTTTCTCCATTTGATTACTAATACTTTTTAGTTCAGATTTTTATATGTATATTATTTAATTTATTTCCTAAACTTACCAATAAATACAATCACCAAAATAATTGTCGATAAACATGCTGTAAAAATGCAAATATTTTCTATACCAAGTCTAATATCAGTTGCTGCACCATTTCTTTTAACAAGCCATGGCGTTATAAAGAAACCCAAAGCAATACCTAATTGACCTCCAAATGCAGCCAAACCTGAAACTGTGAAAGCCTAATTAAATCAATTAGATTTTTCACTTATTTCTATAATAATATAAACTGTTTACGAACCTCGTTTGGACTAAACCAAACTGCTGATAATGTTTGCGGTACTTGTAATATAAAAATTTGTGATATTGCTACAATTGTCTGACCAATCATAAGTATATAAAATTTATTTGGATTTAATGCAAACATTTTAATCCATGATCCTAATGCAGTACCAAAACAACCATAAAGTGCAGTTTGTCTTGAATTCTAAAATAAAAGAAAAAAGTATTTGTTTTTTAAAGTAATTTGTTTTTAATCATTGTTAATAAGATAAATTGGTTTTAAATTGATTATAAATTGCACATGTGTTGGATACATATGTGCATATTTTGTACACTTTTAATACAATCCAAAGTAAATCGAAGTACCGCGTATTTTAAATTTAAGTGCTGAGCATCTACTTTTAAATACATATACAAATTTTTATGGAGGAAACTGGGTAATAATGAGTAGTTGAATTATTTATTCGAAAGTAAAAATTTGTTAAAATTTTCCTGCAACAATGATTCTCTCCTGCTTATTTTTACTTTCTGCATAAAATATTTCATTGATTCAAGAGTATTCAGAATTTTAGAATATGCAAAAGTTGTTTGCTAAAACTGATTTTCCATGCTAAAAAATCTTTAATAAACTATTTTTAGAAAGCGGTCTATCTGTTCGTCGTTCTCATTTTAATTGATATTTATATCTGAGTTTATCTTAACCACATGATGGATTTATCAACCTTTAAGGCCTATCAGTAACTGGGCTTTTTATTTTATATTTTTGTATATTTTTAAGAAAATAATCTATCGATTTCTTTACGATTAAATATTTTAATTATTTTTAATAGTTGAGAAAACAATGAACTACCAAATTTTTTGAGAATATGAGGGCTCGAAAACGATGCCACGGAAACCACGATGGGAAAATTTTATACATTTTACCATATCTAAGAAACCCATTAACGGAACTCATTGAAACTTAATATTTGAAAGAATTGTGTTTGCCAATGAAATTAACTGAAAAATTTTTCAAGAAAATCAGAAATTCACTTTTCACATGCTTGAAGTATACCTCAATTGAGATTTTCGGGGCTTGCAAGAAGGTATATGCAAGAAAAATCATGTGGGGATTCTCACGTTGTCGATAAACTTCCAAACTACAAAGAAACGAATTAATATAAAATTTTTGAAAATACTCGTATTGTATATTCAATTAACTAGAAATACATACTTTACTACTCTGTTCAATGTTCAAATTTTTATTACGCCGCAGTACTAATATGAAAATCTAAAGTTTTAAAAAATTTTAAAACTAAATATTTTATTCTTTCTTACTATTAAACGAAAAATTAAAAAGTATTTCCACAAAAAGTTTTTGATATACATATGTACAAGTGAATTGCTTTTTTACTTTGAAATTTTTAGAAAATTTTAATTAGCCTCATATGTAATAATTAATTTTATTATGCAATCAGTTTGTATAAAATTTTATATAAAAAATACCATATGTATTTAAATTTGAATTACTATAAAAAAAATTTTACAAATATTTAGATATCTGAAAAAATTTACCTTTGTATCTAGAAAATATGAGACTGGTAATACCAAAAACACATAACAAATCATAAACACTAATGATGTCCAATCGACTGCATTTGATGACACCTTATAAAAATCTACTAATAAATTAGCAATTATACTAAATTGTATCCATTGCATATACGATATAGCTGTAAATATTATACATATTATCATATATAACCATCTTGATTGTAATAATTTTATTTCGATTTTTGAAAATTTAAAATCTTCTGGCACTGATAATGATGTAAATGATTCAATTCTCTTCAATGATGGTTGCGGATCAGTTGATTGAAATTCTTGCGACTTACAACCTCTTATTAAAATATCATTTGGATGTGGTACACATAGAAAATTTTCATTTTGTTCTGGTAAAGTATTTGGATCTGATTTACGATTTCTTTGTATATTACAAAGACTATTAACAAGAATTGTGCTATTACGACGAAATGATGGTATTAATCTTGGATCCATTTATAATACTGTTATAATCACAATTAATTACTAATATATTCTTTTGTTTTTTCATATATTTTAATATGAAATAAAATTTTTTTCTTTCCAAAACACTATTTATATATTTTAGTATATTCTTTTTTTTGCTTTATAATTTAATCACTACTATATTGTTTTTCTTGTATTATTAAATTTGTTGTCGTCTTAAAGTCCACTAATAAATAAGTAAGTATTAAGTATAGGTATGCAAAAAAAAATAAAAAAAAAAAACAATAAAGATGTGGCGCAGCCACCGCTATAAACTATAATAACGTTGAATATTATTTATAAGTGATCCCCATTCACTTGAAACAAATCTCTGCTAATAATACATTAATACGAAAAAAAAATAAATGCAAGAACGAGACCTAAACTATATGTATAAGAAAAAGCTTAAGATGAAAAATATTTGTACATAAGTAGTCAGTAGTGTTCCCTTGTCATAATGAAGTAATAAAGCTCTCAGAACGCAAGCCTCTTTGAATAAAAACCAACAAAAACAAACAAAAAACAAAAGATACAAAATAAAAAATTTATAAACAAATTGAAATTAGTATAGTTATATGAATAATCAACTTAACATACGTACATGCAAACATACGTACACTTAACGCTTCTTAACGCTTATACAAATATTTAAATTGAAAATATTCACCAGGTTAAAAAAAAAATCTTAGCGATCATTTCTACATTTATTATAATCATGTACAAATCTGTGACGTTTTTTCTCTTTTTACATAAACTAATTCAAATATACTACACTTCCGCACATTTGGTGGAATATATTTTTATATATTGTGTTTTTTTCATCATTTTATTATACATATGTACATATTTGGAAAACAGTAATTTGAAACCTTTATAAATCGTAACAATTGCAAATTTAAAATGATATTAAATTAAACTTGTTAATGGAAAACAGGAACAATGACAATTGTAAAACCTTTAGAATGAAACAAAAATCGTATTAATTTTATTCGCCAGTGCTTAGTCGACAGTAAATGCACAAGAAAATCACAATTTGATCGTCTATATGAAGCTAAGTATATGCACAATTAAAAACAAGCCACAGAAGATTATTTAAAAATCTTATTTAGAAATAAGAAATTTTAACCTTAAGGAAATGAGGAGCAATTTCAACAGGAAGAAAAAAAAAAACAGAAAGGCTAAGATAAGATGATGATAATCAAATAACTCCATTGAATATTAAAGTTCAAAATACACACTTTATGTCAAGACTTCAATTCAAGTTTCGAACAACTTATAATTTTTTTCCGTAATTTCGGAATTAAATAAAATATGTAATGAAATAAGAAAATAATAATACAAGACTTAGAAAGTTTTTATTTGTAACCACAGACGTACGAGTATTATACTCGTACTTTTCAATGTTAATATAAAGAAAAAAATATTAGACTTATTTTTATGAATTAACAATTTTTAGATAAATCTCGTTAGTAAGTTAGACAAGTTCTATTACACGGTTTGGAATTGTATTACACAATATTTTAAATAGTATAAATTTTTTATTTAATAAATGCGATCCAAATTGTTTGAGTTTTTTATATGGACATGCAGTTTATAAGTGATTTAGATATTTTTATTAAATATTTCCATATAATGTAAAATTTGTTTTAATTTTTTTTCTCTTTTATTTTTGATTTAAAGCTTTTCAGATCCAGACACACTTGAAGATAAATTAATATTTAAAAGCATTTTTTTTTTGTACTTTCTGCATCGGTTTCTTTATTATACAATTTTTATTAAATTAAAAAGTTATTTTTAATTTCTTTTATAATATTTTGGTACAAGCATTCGACTCGAAATAATTTTCAGTATTATAAGTAAATTTACAAATTCCTACTTTAGATTGAAAAATGCAATTGGTATTAAAATAATAATATAGGAACTTGTAAAAATTTTTAATGCCTTGAAAATCATTTTCTTCAAAGACAATGATAATTCTCATTTGCGGGCTCTCACAATATAACTATAATAATGTTTTATAAAACGAATTTTTATTAATGCTTTTAAATATGTTACACAAATTTATCATACGTTCACAAGGCTCCTTTAATAAGATATCAATCCATTTTGAAAATGCATTAATATTCTTTGAATAAACTCTGAAATTCTCATTTGTTAACGAGTCATCCTTTTTATTATTGCAAAATAACTGAATTTTAAAATAATCTGAAATTATCTGAAATTGTTAAAATTCACTGGTCCCATATATGGAAAGTCAACTCAGTTTCATTTAATCTATATCTACATTACAATAGAAATTATTTATAACAAATTCGACCATTTATATTTTGTACAGATTTTAAAATAGTATACTAGAACTTAATCTTTCATCTGTAAACATATATTATTACTATTTCTACTAAATAAACTATTAATCAAAATTTAAAATGACAAATGAAATATGTAATAAGAAAAAATTTTATTAGCTTTGATGCTTGAACAATGTATAACACTAACTTGGCCAACTGTGAGATACTTATAATGTGGTGACTATATCTAGAATAAAACTAATTCAGAATAACAATTTATTAAACTATATTGATCACTGGCAAAATTGAAAACTTTGCTATTAATTCCAAAAGCGGCAGTGAATTTATATACGTTTTATGTATAAAAGTTAAGAAATCTTAACGTTATAAATGCAAAATTAATTTTATAATACTCTGGAACAAACAATATGTAACATAATAAAGCTTATAATAAGCGTTTTTACAATTTTGTAATTCACTAGAATTTAATTTAAATTTTTTTTAATTTCCACAATTTGCATATATTTAAACAGGGAAGTCATTTGTAGTAATTTGTAGTTTTTAAATTATGCCCCAAAAATTTGATATTAAAGATGTTATAATTTGTATATTTTATAGAGTGTTTCACTATATCATATTGAACAGCGACATTTTTGTAAATACATAGTGAAATTAAGTAAAATAGAAAGTATTCTATTGAAATTTAATATTGAAGAAAACTTTTCAAATAATTTTTTGTACGAGTATACACGCATAAGTTTGTATTTGTGTTTCAACCGACAACATTGCATACAATAAAGTTATGCATACAACAAAGGCGGTAGTTATTGTTAAATTAAGTCGTAAATAACTATTACGATTCCCTTCCTGCCTTCATATAAAATAACATTTAGATAAATGTCGGTTAGTCTGTCTGTTGGCCTGTCTGTATTCATTTGTTTATCTCAAATTCGACTAAACTGATTTTCATGAAATTTTATATTTGAGTTTATTTGGACTGTGTCACGGATTGATCAACTTTTTGGATATTTAAGCCTTTGAAAGTACACGTTTTAACGGACTAGTATTACATTTTTAATAATTTTAAAGAAAGTATTCAGCAGATTTTTTGATATTTTATATATTTACATGTAAGTTTCGTTTCACATTGCAAGAAACTACCACATTTTTGAAAGAAGAAAAATCAGATAGCAGAAACTGAACTTTTACTATTGGCAAAATTTACATTTTTGCGCATATAAAGAGAAATAAACAACCAATTTCCGAAATTTAATATTAAAATTCAGGGTGTTAAAACACTGAACTTTTGTAATTTTTTGGCAACATCAAAGCTATAATACCAAATTACTTAACTGTACATATATATAGTAAAACAATATTATAATTAATCTGGCAAATATCTCAACCCGTCTATTGACTTATCGCTTCAAATTAGCTTTACACTTTAGTTTTTCTACTACAAAGCGAAAATTTTTTATAATTTTTTGTCGTGTGTTTATTGTTGATTTTAAAAGTTTTCATTATTTATGGCAAGTATTGTGGAAAAATTTGTTTTATTATTTATAGGCTAGACTTTATAAATTTTTTTTATTTAGTAGCTATTTGTAAATATTATTTATTCTTTAATTTTAAATTTTTTTTTTAATTCTATACTTTTTATGTTTGTATTAAGAAACATGGTATAGAATCTAATCAATAATATTTAGTAAAATGGTATACTAATTCTAGAGTTAAATCATTTGCAAGCTATTTGTACTTGAAAAATTCTATATAACAGCAATAAAATTAAAATTAAATGCAAATTCTTTAAATTAATTCTATAGGCAAGAATACTCTACTTATGCATACAAAGTTTTGTTTCAAACACGATTTTTTTTTTTTTGTTTTTTTTTCCTTCTTCACTCCTATAAGGAGCATAGGGGGCTAGTTCATGATATCTATCATGTCCTAGTTTCTATAGTCATAGAGAGTTAGCTAGGTAGGTGACTAGCCTACCGTAGTTTTTATTTATATTAAATATTTCCTTTAATTAATATTTTACTGCTTATTTTTCTTAGTCTTTCTAGTATCGCATATTATGAATATTTGTAAATTACTTGTATAAATTTATTAATATTGCATATTAAGTTATAATAATATTGAATATAATTTTTATAGTGACCTGACCAGGGTTTAAACCCGAGACCCTTCGGTTAAAGGGCCGGTGCCATAACCACTGCACCAATGGTCAGATACACGATTACTGTATGTAAACTCAAGTGAATTCAAACTGAATTAATACATATTATATTAGGGTAAAATGGAAGTATAGTTGAATTTGTGTTTAGGACCCCAGTAATAATTTGCAGATAAATACTCTTACTAGATATTGCTAACTTATGTATGTAAAATATATTGTACAAGTTTTATATACATATATCTATAAATATAAATTAACAATGAGAAACCAGAACTAAATATTCATTAAAGGATGCATATTTAATTATGCACCCCTTAATGAATTTAATTATGTTATGGGTCGCATTTTGAATTTGAATGAACCGCATGCTACCCATGGGTCGCACATTGCCGACGGCTGGTCTTAATCCTTCCATTTTAATTTCATGTATAGAAAATTTTTACTAAATTCAATCATATTCTAAACAGATTGTTAACGTTTTAAAACCATTATACAAGCATTTCTTTTAATGAAATTTAATTTAA